TCGACGCTCAGCAAGACCGCAAAGACGCATCATATTGAGCAAATCGTTTGGAAATCGACGACCCACATGTGCATGGTCGTCGCCAGTGGGGTTGCCGAAAACGGGCAGTATTTAACCTTCCAAGTCGCCCAGTACTACCCGAATGGGCAAGGGGTCAAAAAATTAGAGGAAAAAGTAGCCAACATTCCTGTTCCCGGTAAATTCTTGAATAAATTTCTGAAATTTTTCATTCACAGATAATTTACATAATTTTCTGAACCCATTTTATGGACAGGGACCCACAAAAAGAAAACATGATCAAGTTCGTGCATGGCGTTAATTTTATTTATAAATTACTAGCGTATAAGCCCGTCTCCCGCCGGGCGAGTGAAAATAAGAGCTGGAAATATCTGTCGGCAACGGATGCAAAAGATAAGTGGTGGAGTGACATTTCTGTGTGCTCGTGTCTGACTCCCACTCTATTTCCACTCCACTCCGCAGTGGAATTACAAATTCCGAGTACTCGTTTCTGACTCCCACTCCACTTCCACTCCACTTAGCAGTGGAGTGACAAATTCCGAGTACTCGTTTCTGACTCCCACTCCACTTCCACTCCACTCCGCATTGGAGTGACAAATTCTGTGTACTCGTGTCTGACTCCCACTCCACTCCGCATTGGAGTGACAAATTCTGTGTACTCGTGTCTGACTCCCACTCCATTTCCACTCCACTCCGCAGTGGAGTGTCTGACTCTCACTTCCACTCCACTCCACCCCGAAGTGGAGTGACAAATTCCGAGTACTCCTGTCTGACTCCCACTCCACTCCGCAGTGGAGTGACAAACTCGTACATAATTGTTGATTGTAGAAGTGACGAAACTCTGGATCCATGAACTCAGTTCCACTTCATTTCCACTTCACTTCCACAGAAGTGACAAAACTCTAGATCCATGAACTCACTTCCACTTCATTTCCACTTCACTTCCACAGAAGTGACAAAACTCTAGATCCATGAACTCACTTCCACTTCACTTCCACAGAAGTGACAAAACTCTAGATCCATGAACTCACTTCCACTTCACTTCCACAGAAGTGACAAAACTCTAGATCCATGAACTCACTTCCACTTCACTTCCACAGAAGTGACGAAACTCTAGATCCATGAACTCACTTCCACTTCACTTCCACTTCACTTCCACAGAAGTGACAAAACTCTAGATCCATGAACTCACTTCCACTTCACTTCCACTTCACTTCCACAGAAGTGACAAAACTCTAGATCCATGAACTCACTTCCACTTCACTTCCACAGAAGTGACAAAACTCTAGATCCATGAACTCACTTCCACTTCACTTCCACAGAAGTGACGAAACTCTAGATCCATGAACTCACTTCCACTTCACTTCCACTTCACTTCCACAGAAGTGACAAAACTCTAGATCCATGAACTCACTTCCACTTCACTTCCACTTCACTTCCACAGAAGTGACAAAACTCTAGATCCATGAACTCACTTCCACTTCACTTCCACTTCACTTCCACAGAAGTGACGAAACTCTGAATCTAACTAATTTCCACTTCACTTCGCAGTGAAATAACCACCCAATAAGTACCATCACACAACCACTCCCAGATAAGCACCATCAGACAACTACTCCCAGATAAGAACCATCAGACAACCACTCCCAGATAAGCACCATCAGACAACCACTCCCAGATAAGCAACATCAGACAACCACTCCCAGATAAGCACCATCAGACAACCACTCCCAGATAAGCACCATCAGACATCCACTCCCAGATAAGCACCATCAGACAACCACTCCCAGATAAGCACCATCAGACAACCACTCCCAGATAAGCACGATCAAACATCCACTCCCAGATAAGCACCATCAGACAACCACTCCCAGATATCCCCCATCAGGCCATCACACCCCGATAATCACCATCAGGCCCCCACAACCTAATGACCATTAGGCCTCAACACCTCGATAACCACTCGCCAAACCCCAATTCCCACAATCAACCAGCAACTCTCTGATAACCCCAACTTCTCACATTTATTTTTTAAAATTAAAATTTTTGAATTTTCGCGCCATTCGAAACTTTACTTTCTTTACTTTCACTTCCGTCACGGAAAATAACTTTCACTTCCGTTGCCAACAAACATTTCCAGCTTATAATATAGATTGGAATGAATTTCACAATGTAAATATTTCAAATATTTTCAAATTTCTTAAATATGGTACCTCGTGCGGTGTCAGATTAGTATCCACGCGTCCCAACTTGGGCCACGTTGTGAAATAAAGTGGAAAATCTTTAGGCCAGCAGCAGTTCTCACAAAATTGCCGATATTTCCAACATATTTAATTTTTAGCCGGTTCTAGCTTACTTTTAATGTCGCAAAAGTCTATTTTTTTTTAAATTATAATACTCAAATAATTAATTAGATTTTTAAAATGTCTTGTACAGTTATTTATATTCATAAAAAACATTGAGTGGCCGATTGAGTAATAAATTTCTAAATATTTTTGAATTGGAGGGGGGGAGATACATAAGTCTAAAATAGTGTTTTTTAAGTTTTGAGCAATAATAAGTTTAAAAAGCATTCCAAAATTTCTGAGGAGTATTTTGAATTCCTACGTGAAAAACTAGTCTTTCTGAAGTTTTATGAAAAATAATTCATGGATTTATTACAAAAATATTATTTCTTAAATATTTATGTTTTCAACCAAGTTCTTGTTTACTTTTGACCTCGCAAACTTTATTTTTAATAAACAATTACACGAAAATTGATTGATTAAGGTTTTTATTAATGGTATCGAGTGAGCGTCAGTACACGTATTGACTTTCAGCCCTGGACACATAATTTTTTAGTAGATTTCTTAATACACTTATTTATCTATATTCGTAAAAATCATACAAAAAATATTTATTCATTCATTCAAAGCCTTGAAAAAAATATTCATTCCTTATTCACTCATTCATAATTTCTAAAAAAATATTCATTAATTATTCACCATTTATTCATTATTCACGATTCCTTCATTATTCATGTTATTAAAAATTCACAGTATTAGACGAATTTCTCAACTTTCCCTATGTATTAAGCATTGAATAAAAAATGAAAAAAATATTCATTCACTATTCATTCGCACGAATTGAATAGATATTCATTCAATATTCATTTATTCAAAAATCAGAACAAAATATTCATCCAATATTCATTCAATTTTCGAATATTAAATGAATAATTTATTTATTCATCATTGAATGAATCAATATGACTATGTATGGTAATAATAACATTGCATGGTCGGTGATGTAATAAATCTCTACATATTTTTTGTTATTTGAGGGGGAGGGGCTTTAGTTAAAAATAGTGTTTATGAATATCTTCGGAAAATAAGTATTTCTAGAGAAACTTAAGTTAATAATATCCCTAATTTCCAACATTTTTATTTTTAAACCAGTTTTGCTTATTTCTAACGTCGCAAAATCTATTTTTAAAGTAAATAATTACCCAAATAACGTATTAGATAACTCCCAGCATTCATGAATTTCTGGTAGAACTATTTTAGAAATTCTACGTGAAAACTGGTATTTATACACGAACATGTTGGGAATACTTCAAAATATTCTTGAATTTTTCAGGGGGAAAGATTTTTCACAAAATTTCTGTTGTTTTCAATTTTCAATATATTTGTTTTTTAACCAGCTCATGCTTCCATTTGCGTACTGACTTTTAACGTCACAAAATTTATTTTCAAGTAAATAACTACACGAAAATAATTTATTAGATTAATGTCCATTTGGCTCCGACGACTCAAAATTGACACATCACATTTAAATACATATGTAAATTCGTGGCATAAATTTGATTAATAAATTTTTCCCGTATTTTTCCAGAAAATAATTTCTATTATCTTAAATTAAATCCTTATGTCAGGTAAATTGAGAAAAATAAATTTATAAATAAAAGACTGCGCAAAGACTGAATTTATAAAGGGACGTAGACAATTTGATAGATATACACTTTATAAACAGATTTTATTAATAAATTTTCAATATGAATCTCTATTGACGCGTGAATAAAGGATAACATCGTGTTTTTATAACATACAATAAATTTTCCATATATTTTGAGCATACAATAATTTTTCACATATTTTTTGGAATGAATTTAAGTATAATTAATTTCTAATTCCTTAAATAAAATTCCTACTCCAAGTGAATTACGGAAAATAAATTTATGATGACTGCACTTTTGAACGCAGAAAATTTGATGTCCATTTTCTGAACAAAATAAAGCGTGATGCAGCTCATAGAGTGAATTTTACTGGTAAATTTCCCATATTTTTTTAGCATATTTACAATGAACTTCACATGTTTTTGGAATGATTCTCACTGATGTAAATAATTTCTTACAATGCGATGGTGTGAAGTGTTACCCTTAAATTTGATTGAAATTTCGAAATTATGTGGTCCATGTCAATACAATTAACGTTTCTTCATGCAGTTTGTGCGATGGTCAGAATTTGGCAAAATGTTTGAGGTCAAAGTTGAAAAATGTGCAATTTTTAGCACCGGAAGAGAATGGAAGTTTAGTTTGCTTCTTACGCCTGGTAAAAATCGACCGTTTTTTAACTTTGACCTCAAATATTTTGACAAATTCTGACCATCGAAACGTTGGTTGTATTGACATGGACCACATAATTTCGAAATTTCAACCAAATCGGAGGGTTACACTTCACACCATCGTATTGTTAGTTCAATTTCTAAAATAATTTCTTAAATACGCCTATAAAGCTTCTAAAATCTACACGGGAATAATAGGGACAAAGAATAAGAACAATTGCATAAAAATAAGTATTACGCGAATATTTAAATTAATACCCCAGAAAGAAACCTCGAGGTAAATTATTGAAAATAGACTTCTGAATACTGAATTTCGTAAACGCAAAAAAATTAGCCTACATTTTATGAACAGGAATGCACAAAAAGGAAACATGATCAAATTCCTGGCATGAATTTTATTAATAAATTTTCCATATATTTTGAGCATACAATAATTTTTCACATACATATTTATGGAATGATTTTACTATATTTAAATATTTCGAATAATTTATAACTACGTTCTTAACGCGTTTAATAAGCTTCTAAAATCTACACAGGAATAATTCCGACAAGAAAAAGAAGAATTGCAAAAAAATAATTATCACGACGTGAAAAAAGTAATGTTCAACACATTCGGATCCAAAAATCTATAGACAGAAATAATTGCGAGAATTGCGAGAATTGCATTAATTATTTCGCGACAAATTAACACTCAGAAAAATCGGATTTAAATTCTACACAGAAATAATTGCGACAATTGCAAAACACTAATTAATACAGGAAAAAATGAATTTTGAAGCTAATCGGATCTAAAATCTACACAGAAATAATTGCACACTTGCAAAAAAATAATTATTACTCGAAAAAAATCAAGAAATCGAAAAGAAAATCCACCAAAAAATATTCCTCTCACTTTTCACCCCACCCAAATCAAATCATTGTTCTCCTATTTTGACTGCCCCCCTGACGAACGCCCCCTCTCTTAAGGACGGAGCCTAAACAGATACAGAAAATAAATTTATGCATAAAAATAATCCCCCCTTTTCTACTTTTTTCCCACAATTTCCACCCTTTTTTTGTTCCCACTAGTACCTTCTTCCGCATCGATGGAGCCCAACTTTTGGAAAAAGTTTCTTAAATTCTTGACCGTGGACTCTTTTGGCTCCTCCTCCTTCGGCGCACCCGCCGCGACGCCGCCCTTCTTCCCGAAGGAGTACTTCACCTTGGGGGCGGACTCTCCATTGGGGGAGGAAGGCTTCTCAAATTTCTCTCGGTTCATGGCCACGATGGATTTTCGGTCGCCGCCGGAAGTATCGTCATCTTTGTCGCCATGAAGAACGAATTCTTCCCGTTCTTCGGTCACTTCTCCGCCAAAAGTGACTTGTTTGTGGGGTTTGGGTGATTCGGGGGGTGGTGGTGACGATTCGACGGGTGGTGGGGACGATGGTGACGATCCCTCTTCCTCAATTTCGTCATGTTTTTCGTCTCCATTTTCAACCACGACTGCGTCCTCTTCCTCTGCTTCCGGTTCAGATTCGGTCGGCGCGGTGATTTCGACACGGACGTCGGATTCTTGATCTTCGTGACCTTCATGTTGACCTTGACCTTCGACCCCTTCCTCGTTGTCTTGAAGGTGACCTTGTTCTTGGTCAGAATTTGGATTTCCCACTTCCGTTTCGTGCTCCTCCTCCTTTTCCTTATCCATGCCGGACTGGATGCGATCAAATTCCTGCTCAATTTCGACGGCTAAAGCCATTCCTTCCTGGTCGGGTTGTGGGGCTGGCGGTGGGTGCGACTCGACTACGGTGACGTCGGCCTCGATATGGTTTGAGGGTGAGGAAGGAGAAGAATCCAGCTTATCGGCCGCCACGTCATTTCCGGTCGCTCGTACCGCGGCAGTAAAGTGGGTAACAGCTTGGTCGTCTTCTTTCTGCTTGATAAGCCAGATAAGGTGACTCTTCTTGTTGAAAGGGGCGTCCTGGGCGGCCTGGAAATTTATGAAAAAAATCATAAAACCTCAATCTTTTTTTCCTAATATAAATGAATTTCTTGGAAATATTGTTTTGAAAAAGAGTCCTGAATACGTCCAATGTTTTCCAGAACAAATTTCAAAATTTAAAATTCTGACACATTTTGCAAAATAATCATCTATCCCCCCGAAATACCACCTCATCTGTTTTTTATTTACGTTTCAGTATTTGTTAAGAAAAGTAGTTAACGGCGTTAAAACAAGTAAATTTACAAATAAAATATTAGTTAAGAAATATTTTGGAAATTTTCATTTTCATTTTAACATTTCTCTCCTATAAAATATGTATAAATTTCTGGGAATTAAAGACCCAAGAAAAATGTTCCCATCCGGAAATTCATAATAGTTATTTGAGAGAACTGAATATTTCTGAATGTTTTTTTTAAATAATTTCCAGATGAATACTATTTCCGAAAAAAATCATATTTCTTTTTTAGAGATTAAATGGTTTTAAAGGGATTAAAGATTGATTTCATTTTCGCAAACAAAATCAGAAATATTCACGTCATTTCAATATTTGTATTTCCAAATTAATAAATGTTCCCTAAATAAATTTCTATAAATAACTCAATTTCTCACCACTTCCCGTTCTTCTTCCTCTGTGAGCACATCCCGTTCTCTTAAATACTTCACCACGTCGTCCAAATTCGTGATAAGGTCCACCAACTCCATCATGTTTTCACTAATTTTCTTCTTTTCGTCACTCTCCCCCATTTTCCCCGAGCAAAATCCGAGCAAAATTCACCTTCTGGATCTGAGGACGAGAAAAAGAAACCACAATTTTAAACCAAACTCGACTAAACTAAAATCTGGATAAAAGTTTGAAGTTAACAAACTCCGGCGAATGCAGATTGTAGCCTCGCACAAAATATTTATTTCATTCGGAGAAATGCACTTGAGATAAAACAATGTGCAGAGGGATCAAGGCAGATAACACGATTCTTCTCTCATCCTCTCAGCATGGATGGCAGACAGGATGAGGAATATATCAATATTATCACCAATCCACCACAATTTCTGGTCTTCCATCCATACGCAAATCAACTAATGATCATCATACATATGCATCCCCAGTGGCCGAGGAAGCCGTGGGGACATTAATCTTGTAGGATACGGGTAGTGATCTCAACGGTTCTCGGTTCTCATAGAACCGAACCGGAACCGATGGCTCGGTTCGGTTCCGGTTTATACGGAGAACCGAACCGAACCGAAACTTTTATTACCGGTTCGGTTCCGGTTCCAAGTCTTAGAGAACCGAACCGAACCGGCCGGTTCGGGTTGAACCGAACTACATACATAAATACATTAGCGAAGTTGATCATATTTCCGAAAAAGTTTTACGAATTTCCCGAAATACACCTAGTTTCCAAAATGAAATTTTGACGTGGCCGTACCTCCAAAGTTCCCAAAATGAAATTTTGACATGGCCACACCCCCCAAGTTACCCAAAACGAAATTTTGACCTGGTTACAGTTACATCCACAATGTTTGCAAAACCAAATTTGGACTTGATGACACCTCCAAAGTTTCCAAAATGAAATTTTCACCCCCAAAGTTTCCTAAACGAAATTTTTACCCCCAAAAGTTTCCGAAATGAAATTTTGACGTGACTGCAACCCAAACTTTCCAAAATGAAATTTTGACTTGGTTACACCCCCAATGTTTCCAAAATGAAATTTTTACTTGGTCACACCCCAAATGTTTCAAAAATGGAATTTTGACTTGGTTACACCCCCAATGTTTCCAAAATGAAATTTTTACTTGGTCACACCCCAAAGTTTCCAAAATGGAATTTTGACTTGGTTGCACCCCAAACTTGGAATTGTTTTCTAACTTCAATAATACATACATAAGTGGTTTTGCTGTTGACATGTGTTAGAATTTGCTTGTTTAAATACAGATAAGTTATTGGCTTGTATGTGAAATTTCATCAGAAACACGTGAATTAGCATTGTTTGTTGTTTATTGCATATTAATAACACTACCGGTTTGACCCGAACCGCCGGTTCGGTCACGGTTTGGTCCGGTTCCGGTTCGGTTCCAGCTAAAAAAAAGTTCGGTTCTGTTTCGGTTCTTCAATTCTGGTTCTCGGTTCCAAACCGGTTCTTCCAAGAACCGAACCGAACCGCACCGTTGAGACCACTAGATACGGGAGAGGGAGGGGTTTACATAACATGGGCAGATAATACGGACATTGAATAACCGTTGCCCCTCTGTCCTCACCCTTCCGCGGCCACTGTTCGTCCCCACTACATATGTAACAGCATACTTACTTTTACCCATATGTGACCCATACATACACAAAATTTTACCCAGGTAATACATAAATACAGCACCCACCTACCCACCTACCTGTCTAATTTCCTCTTCAATAGAGATGAATATTAGTCGACTTTGACTCCCGATCCACCCGGCAGATAACCTCTTATCTCACTCTATATACAATTACTTATCAATCTTCCCCTGCTGCGTGGATGAAAAATGCAATACAAACACACAACCCCAGCCTTTTAACTGCAACCACACCACTCAACACGGAGGAAAATGGATCACTAAATGTGTGTAACAGCTACTCTTATTCATTCGCAAATTATTTGGCAAATATTTATGCGCAAAAGTATGTACATATGTTCGCACGGGTTGGAACCGGAATACGTATTGAGTGAATTAGTCACTCTTCACTGCAAAATCCAATCCACTAAATAACAACCAAACCTCAAACAATGCCTAAGAAGAAACGAGTCTTGTTATGTGTCACGTCTCACTCGCAGTTAAATACATACAAAAGTTAATGAAATGACGACTAAAACTGACCACCACATTATTTTTGACACATGATATCTCTCTTCCTCGGTACGTACATATCGCTAAAAATTATTTTACGTCCTGCAAGCATACTTCAACACCAACTTATCAAACCAAACCATGAATTACGACCATAAACCATATTGCCAATCACAGTAACCATAAAGTACGGGGAACCAAGCCACCCAAAAGTTCTTGGTAGAATAAAATATGTACTTAAATTTTTGCCTATTGACAATTGACGAATAAAATGAACAGAGGGTGGATATGTATGAATTTTCATTTTGTTGATTTGAAGACGGCCCACGGTTAAACTTTGTGGGTGTGTTTCGCAACTTTTGTAGATCGCCAAAAATTTCAAAATACTTTTACATACACATTGTCGTATATTTTTAGGTTTTCAGAAATATAAATATTTCCGATATGATTTGAAATGTAAATCTTTTACATATTTCTATAAAAATGCATCTTAGTGTAGTAAATATTTCTGGGATATGAGACGAAATTATTTATTTATTTTGCTCAAATAAATTGGGCCACAAAAAAACGGGGTTAAATTTTAAAATGCAAATTTTTAAATTTCATTCAAATTTTCATTCAAATTGCACTCAAAAGTACAAATTCTGTCCACCATAAAAATTCGTATTGTTTTAATGGATTTGTTTATACATATTTCGTGTATATTTTAGCCTTTTTCCTAAATATTTGGCACATAAGTGTTTCCGTAATTTCTTTTCGTAAATATATATCCACCCTCTGCTCCTAATGTCCTTTAATGCATAAGAATGACATATTTATTACGAGCTCTTATAGGGTTGTGCTCCAGTTTCATACACCAAAAACATAACGCTGCAGTAATAATCTCTTCCCACAAAGATTACGTTACGTATTATGATTGACACACGCTCAGCTCCTCAGCCAGCTACATATGCAGTTGGTCATAAATGATTGATTTATTTAACGCTGAAGGTCCAAATCGATGATGATTTAATTTGTTGTTTTTAATTTTTGACCAACTTCCTCCAAAAGTTATCTTGGTTAAAAAATAAAGGATGTGGGCTCACTGGGCATACTTTTCATGAATTGGAATTGAATAATTATTCACAGTCGTATTCACATATTTATTTTAACATTTGCTCGACAACTCGTTAAATATTTGCACCCTTAGAAATCCAGTGTTAATCTAATACCAAGCGGTAGTAATGCATAATTCTAAGTACCAACGTGACATTGATAAGTATTTAATAGCTCGGCATTAAGTTTTTACCATCTCGTTCGCTAATTTTTAATTGTCGGTATAATTTTAACACCACGTGGTAGCAATTTTGACACCGAGAAATCAATAGCAGACTATACAACATTCTTAACAGTCTTATCCTCCCCCCCCCCCCAAAAAAAGCACAGTTTATCCCCGTTAATACACTCTTAGAAATCCAGTATTAAAACAATACCAGCCGGTATTAATATATCAGGTGGTATTGATAAGTGAAACCCTGTAGTAATACATCGCTATAAAAGTTTACTCATAGCGTAGCAAACTCTTACGGTCCAGCATAATTTTAATACCAAGCGGTACCAAATTTACCACCGAGAAATCAATACATGCTTTACTATACTAGATTTCTAACAGTGTAGTCGTTCGTGGCTTTAACGGAGTCGAAATTTATGTCATTGACGCAAAATTGTTCTTCCATACGCCTAGGTATTAATGTTAATTGATAAGTAGCATGCAAACTGGTGAGTGAGTTAGTTACTCGAGTGGATGCATGCATAATATGCAATGCAATACGTAAGTATGATGAATGACAAGGATGAATCAGCCGCAGAGGAGCAGACTTCATTACGCTAATTTATTTATTTTACTAGACCTCAACACCAGCCAGCTATTTAGTTGACTGAATGTATGCACATATGGTTCTCGATACGATGGGTATTGTCATTTTCGGACAGAAAAATAGATAAGCGCCTGCTTTTTTGTTAGGTATGCATGCATTGTGTCAATAAAGATAACAGTGACAAACACGAAAGGATCTCAAATTTTGCGGCAGCAATATGATGTCCACATCAGAGGGCGGATATGTGTTTATGGTCAAGTTTTTCATTTGATGATGACCGACGGTCAAATTTTATCGGTTCCCGAAATGTTATAAATAGATCACTAAAATTTCAAACTATTTTTAAATACAAATTTGCACATTTGTATTTCTAGGTTTTCAGACATTTATCATTATCAATAAGTATTTCCGGTATTTTTTAAAAAATGCGTAAATATTTTACACATTTTTTCAAAGATACATACAGATAAGTATACCGTAAAGACTCTATTTATAGCCGGGTCTAAAGACGACACAAATCCGACTACAATTTCAAACCGGGTATAATTAGAGACCCGGGTAAATTATTTTTCGGTTATGCATAACTTGAAGCATCTAAAAACGGATGTTAAAGGAATGTCATAATTAGGGACAAGCTTATTAAAGAAATCAAATACGTAAATCCCGAATAATGCCAAAAATTGTTACCCAGCCGGGAATCGAACCACGGCTCCCTTGAATTCATGTCAAGTGCTCTGACCTCTGAGCTACTAGGGCAATTAGTAACATTATAGGGACTTTTACTGATATTTGTCTGTGGCCTTTTTAAATTTTTAAATTTAAGCTTATTAAATTTTTCAAAGTTGGGCTCAAGACCCGGCTATAAATAGAGTCTTTACGGTATCTCAAAAATATTTCAACGCTGTCGGGCAAATTTTGTTTGTACTTCTTTCCCCCAAATATTAAATGCATATTTGACCCATTTCTTTCGCAAATAAGGTCAAAAATGGTCAAAAATGCCAAAAATGCTCTGGTCAAAAATGCAAATCATATGAAAATTCTGATTTTTCTGCTGTTTGTTCATATTTATTTCGCACATTTTTTTCATAAATACATATCCGCCCTCTGCTCATCTATTTATCACCTTCCTCCCATTTTTTCTCCACCTTTTTCGGCTCCAACACATTTTCCTTCAACACATCCGCATCATTTCCGGACGGCTGGTACTGCGCGACCACCATAATTTCCCCATTCTTCTTCCTCTTGGCCCACGCCATCCCCACGCGCTCCGTATCCTTCCACACGAGTTGCGTAAAGTGCGCATTTTTACCAAAGTCCAGTTCCGGATTGGAAAAGTTATACAGCGCAATCTCGCTATACCATCCATCCACCGGCAAACTACCCGTCATTTTGTAGCCCCGCGCCGAATAAATGTTTTCCCCGCGGTCCGTCGTGTCCGAATGGACGACGGGCGAGTCCCTTCCCGCCAAAACTTTGGCGTACGCGAGCGCATCGCGGGACAACTTGTGGTCCAATTTAAGATCGGGGACGCCATGCAGGGCGCGGTACCGGTTGTGCGCGGCGAGCCCTTCGTGCGCGAATTTTAGCTGCTCCTTGGCCCCCAGGAGGGACTCGATGAGACAGAGGCGGGCGCCCTCGTGGGGGGATTGGCAGTGGGAAAAGAGGGTGGAGAAAATTTGGTGGAGGTGTTCGTTCGGGGGGAGGACGGGAGAAAAATAAGTTTCTGGGAAATTTGGGAATTGGGGGGAGTCAAAGGATCCAAGAGAATTTGGGTGGTGGAGGAATTCGGGGGTAATAAGTCGGGGGAACTCGGGGGTAAGTCGGGGAAATTCGGGGTAACCGGAGGGATTTGGGCCGTGAAATTGACCTCCGCCGTCTTTGAATTGACCACCAGCACCACCCGACATGTCCTGTTGTCCCGGGTTAAGCATCCCGTTTCCGGGTTGTTGCTGTTGTTGCTGTTGTTGCTCGGCTGGTTGGATTTGACCAAATTGTGATCCATCCTGTTTACGGAATAAAATATTTGCAAAATTTAGTCATTTCCTTAATTCCAGGAAAACAAATGATTTCCTAAATTCCATGAAAATTTACACATATATTGCGACAGAAATCTTCGACATACCTAAAAAATCTTTCTCGTTTTTAACATTATGCAGCGATAAATAAATAAATTTTGCAAAATTCTATACATCTACATAAATTTTGCATGCTCGGTAATTTTCTAATTTTTAAAACACATAAATTTGAAGTAAAGTACAAAAAACTAACTTGACGAAAAATTGGCAACTCGATTTACGTTTACATAATTTTGCACATCTTTTTTTAGCAAATTATTTCTTATTACCTGTTGTTGTGGATGGTGTCCATGCTGGTTCCCTGGATGATGCTGGGGTTGTGGGTGGTGCTGTTGGGGGTGGTGCATCTGCTGCTGAGCATGGTGTGGGGGTGGTGGTCCATAATTGCCCCCGTGATGTTGTGGGAGCGGTTGTCCGTTATGATGCTGCCCCATATTGTGATGATTCCCATTGTTGATGTGCTGTCCCCCCGGGTGGTGTTGACCTTGCTGACCTTGCTGCTCCTGGGGAAAATGTTGTTGTTGTTGTTGTTGATGTTGTTGTTGTTGCAGATGATGCAAATTCTGGTTCGGCGTCCCATTTATGTTTTCAGTAAAAAGGAGCACCACCAGGAAATAAATTATACCCGATTTTTTACGTGATCCGATTCCCCTCATTTTGCCACGGCTTTTGTCTCTCTTCTAAATTTTCTATTGGTTCCAGCGTCTCCACAAATCCAAAAATGAAGGCCATTTCTTCCCCGTACTTTAAACTTACTCCAATTTTTAATCACCCTTTCAATCCAAAATTTAATACCGCATTTAATAAATAAATGTATAACCGTGAGTCAAGTTTCGTAGTAAAATATCAATTTTTATTTACACACTTATTCAACAATGCATGCATACTTGTCTGGGTTTTTGTTTTGGGTCGTAAAATCTTAATTAATGCCAAACTGAGCAAGGAGATTCTGCAGAGCGAATTGTGTCTATTTTAATGATTCGGTTTTTATGGCGTCATCGTCGTAGGTCTGGCGTCCAACGTGACAGCTCTGGCACCCAGACGGCGTACGGAGGGCTGACATCTGGGCGGTGGAGGACCTCCATAAAAAATAGGAGTCATTTATAAATATGCACGCTCAATAAAAATATTTATATTTAAAGACAAAAGTAAAATTAAGTACTTGTTGGTGGGATTTCCCATCATTGACATCTTTCACCTTGTAATATTTTAAATTTTATATACTTAAAAGTTAAATATCTAGGTTAAAAATTGTAGTTTTGCAAAGGTCGTACATACTCTTGCTCTTGGTGTGATATGAATTTCATGATTCTTCTCGCTAATTCCAGCCTCTGCATAGTTTTTCATATTAGTTCCGTTCATTTTAGACAATACGACTTCATTCGTAAAACTTCTCCCATGTGCTTTCTCCTCGTGCTTGCTTTTATTGGGGGCAAACTCATCGTGGGGCTGATTCTTCAGAAATAACAGCATTTTTAAGGTTGCATACATATAGTTGCATACATATACTTATGTAGAATAGAATCACGATTTGATGTGATTTTTAATTTCACTCTACTCCTGTTCAATTCAATATTTTTACACGCAATTTTTTGTAAATTTCATCTATTTCAAGAGTTTTGAGATAAATGCAAGTTTTAAAACTTTAACGCCAAGTTAATTTTTGCTAGTACAAAATAATAGTTTTGACAAAAATAGCGATTTCATTTTTGATTGAGGAAATTACTTGAGAAAAAAAACAATGATTAACAGTGTTTTCAGATCGATAGTTTTATAGAAACAAATTAATTGTACATACAATGGTGAAAACTCGCATTTATGTAAAACTTACGGGTAGAGTGAGTGAGATTTAAAATATATGCCTAAAATATCCATTTTCATAAATCAAATCTAAATATGCCTATTTCATTAAAAGCGTCATCGTATAGCACCTTAAGATAATTGAATATGCAAATACCGTAAAAACTCAAATAGTAGCCGGGGGCTACTATTTACAAAATCGGTGTCTGGGACCCGGCTACTATTTGAGCAAGGCTACTATTTGGGCAGGGTCACTATTTATAAAATACCGGAAAGATGCACGGCTACTATTCGCACACAGCTATTGAATTTTGTTTCCAGAATCAATGTCAAATTAAATGTTAATAAAAGCACCAATTTCTCCCCTAGAATCGTAGTCTACGACAATTCTATTGTTTATAATTGCTCTTAATCAATTCTTCGATGAGCAGAATTTCGTGTTCACTTCGATTTTTGTATGTAATTGCGATTAAATTGAATAATAATTGAATTGCTTAAATGTCCTGGCTAGGAGATGTGTGATTAAGTTGATGCACGGGTATAATTCGAATAAGGCTACTATTTGGACAGGGCTACTATTTGAGCAGGGCTACTATTTGGGCAAGGTCACTATTTATGAAATTATGATAAAACGCAGGGCTACTATTTGAGCACGGCTACTAATTGAGCAACGGCTACTATTTGAGTTTTTACGGTAAGCACTTACCAAAAATGTTTCAGCACTCCGCACTTTTGTCTAAAAATCAATAATTAATTAAAATAAGTATCCAATTTCTATTTCTAATTACACACCTTATCTGATACGTTACTCTTCTCATCAAGTTTTTGCACCGCACTAGAGGCTCTCTTTTTCGCAATTGGGTCATGATTTTTAGTCCAATTCTGGTAACAAATTATATTCAATATTTGCCATCAATGATTATGCAACAATAAAATTATTACTAACAGCTAAACGCGTATCGGATCCGTTGCTCCGATAAAGCAGGTTATCTTCGAGAGACCCAACTTCATGCACGCCTTTTACAGGAGCGTTACCACCCGGAAAGTAATCTGCCATGCAAAAAAACGCATTTTTAGTAAGTCTTCGGAAAACCTTAACATAAAAATGTGCACATTTAAAAAAATCTGGATATGCACTCCGCACTGGTATTGATTTGGTAATAACTTCCTACCGGATTGGTAGCAATTTGTTTCTTAGTGGAGTGATAAATTTTTTATTACTAAACGAAGTAAACATTGATAAATGGAAATGAAAATATTCAGTAATGTTTGAAAAAGTTGGACAACCCATCCTACCCAATGAGACATCTTTGGCTAGTTTTGCTAGAATAAATATTCCTAATTATTAAAAACGACGTTGAATAATTACTTTTGAATTTCTCAGGTTCAGAAATCCTTCCGTAGTTTACACAGCCAATTTTTTTTAAATCGTCAAAATTTTGTTGAAATTAGCGTATTTTAATTAAATAGCAAAAACATTTACATATATACACTTTTTAAGCAACACCCTGTTAAAAATCTGGTATATACTCCGGACTGGTAATGAAATAACTCCCCACCGAATTGGTTAGTAGAAGTAATATTTCTCAAGCGTCAATTTTTCATTACCACAAAATTACTAAACGGTAATGCCCCTTATTACCAGTGCTGGTAGAGTCATATATGTATGTACTCTGGTCAGTAATAATTCAATACCAGCTAGTTTTCTAAGGGAATCATAACCATAATACCTTTCGTTAAACCTTGCAAATTTTCCCCAATTCGTGTCTATCTAAAACAAAGTACAGAGTAGATTTTGCCAATTTTATGCAAATTTTTACAATCCATACCATTCGTACCGGGCCGGTTGCGTTATTATAATTATGAGGTAGCGAAGTTGTGACACTTTTTTTCGTCACGGGCTTCGTCGTCGTCGTCGTCACTGGAATTATACTTTTTGGCGTCACATGATGCACATTTTTCGTCAAAATCTTCAAACTTGGTCCAATTTTTTCCGTGATTATCAGCTTCATAGTCGGAGGTGAGGGTGCCGTCGTGGCCGGATTTTGTGGCGCCTGTATCCCCACAGATTTCTCCGTCGTTGTGACCTTATTAGCACTCGTGGAATGCGAAATCGTGCCAAAATTGTGGGCGTCCTTATTATTACTTGTCAAGTGCGGAAGCGCAGGCGCTTTTGCGCGCGTGGGGGTTCCTTCAGATTTGTTCTGATGAGATAAATTTGTCCCGAAATTGTGACCGTTAATTGACCCCGGAAATGATTCGACTTGATTCATTATTGGGGGAGGATCCTGTGTTTTTGTATAAAATTTGCATAAATTCGTACTCTGCAAATTTTCTGATATGTGTGCAATTTCTTTTTACTTTACTTTGGCCGGTGGGAAGATATTTTCTCTGAAGGAGGAGCCAAACCCGATGTTTCCGGGGGGCTTGAATCTTGCCACGATTACTGTAAAATTCCTGCCGGGGTCGTAAATCCCACCGATTCCTAATCTTCGAGTACGTTTCCAAACTATGCAAATTAAAAAAAATAACATTCTTTATTATCAACCATGCAAATTCAGCATTATAACTTTGTAATAACTTTTGCAAATCTAAAATTTTGAAATATTTTGCAATATTTTCCAATATTTTCGTAAACACAAATAAAATTGAGTGAATTATTTTAAAAATTCCAGTATTGTTCCAACAAATACGAAAATGTATCGGTAATCCGCCGATTTTACTAATTTTACGAAGCTTTTATTGAAAAATTCAAGTTAACAGATGGGAAACAACAAACAACAAATCCTGAAAAGTCACATTTTTTGTTTACAAATTTTGCAAAAATATTTCACCATTCCAAAATTTTAGGATCTTTTACCTAACTGTGTAAACTGTGCAGTTTTCAAGGAAAACATATTGGCGTCAAAGTCATACTTTTCGATTTCCTTGTACCACCGCTGGACTGCCGCTTTCCCGTCAATTCCCCCCGATTCCCCTCCTCCTCCCCCCGATTCCCCTCCTCCTCCCCCCGAGGAAACAAATACATTTTCCCCCTCGATGTGGGGGTGGCTGTAAAGGGCCACCACGCGTCCCAACAGGATCACCTTGTCGTGCACACGCTTCGCCCATTTCGCCGCGTTCTGACCTAACTAAATTAAAAAATTTTGCAATTTCTGTCCCAATTTTTGCAATTTTTGTTTGCATAATAAACATAGGACGGATAGGCATGTATTAAAGTCCAACTTTTTCATTTGATGACAACCAACGCTAAAGCATTTGTTACGTGTTTCTTCATTTTTAAAGATGACAAAATATTTTTACATATTGGCACATATGCATTTCTTTTCTGACTATAAATATTTCTGCTATTATTTAAAAAATGCGTGAATCTTTTGCAAATTTTTTAAAAAATAAATATCTTCCTACGTATTTCAAGGATGTGAGTTTTGTTGAAAGAAATTCGACTACAAAATTCCTGAGGATTAAGTTCAAAGGTATAACTTTTTCAAAAAATTCATATTTTTATCTACATTTTATTCCTACATTTTCCGTAAATAATTTGACTTTTTTTTCGTAAATACATATCCGGCCTCGTTATAAATTGAGATTTACCACGACATCATATCCCAACGCGGGGACGCCATGTCTTTTTCGATAATTGTTTAAAAACGCTAAAGTACTCTCACTATGCAAAATAACGCTCCCATCAATACTTTCTTGTCCGTGGCAACCCTGCAAAAAAATGTGCAAAAAATCACTGCAAAAATTCTACTTTTTATATTAAAACTTACAACTTACCTTTTCACCTTTTCCCATATTTCCTAATTCTGAAGGCAAACTTTGACTAAATATTTGAACTATTAAGTTAACCGTAAATGCAAATCTTATAACGGAAATTTTGTACAAAAACATTTTTATTATTTCAAAAATTCTCAGAATTTTAAAAACCTCGAATAAGTACAAACTACAAATATTTACAAGCTAAATATATAAGTACATACACGGAAGGATAACTGAACTTTACTCCGCTTAAACAAATAAGTGCCTAATTTAATGTCAATGGACTATTGTTATATGGATTATTATGTAAATAATAATTCGCAAATTTTTTGGACTTATTGTTTTTCGCGAATTAAAATCCATTTCCAGGCGTTTTTTTATTATACCTACGAACGTGTCTGATCTTGACTTGTTGGGCAGGTCGTTAATTTGCAAAGCCTAAATTAAAACATTTAATAATGCCACGCAGTATAACAAGAATACAATAAATCACTATTATTCTAACCTGTATGGAAATTTGCGTATTTGCCAATTTTCTGCACAACTTTTACAGAAAATTAATCGCTATGCGAATTCCGTTCTGAAATGTGTACTTACCACATACCGTAACTGATTTTGCAAATCTTTTTCGTACTTTTTGCAGTAAGAAATATTACCAAAATTAAAAGCGGCGTTAAATATTGAAATTTATTCTCAAATTTTGAAGGATTTATTATTTTTTGGAGATAAAACTAAATTTCCAATCATTTTTTAAAAATTACGCCTACGTACTTAGCAGATTTTTGCTTTTTGGTCTGGTCGTTAATTTTAAAGCCTAAATTAAAACAATGAAGATCAATTTATTAACACCATGCAAAATAATAAACATGCATCAACTCATTATTATTCTGACCCCAATTAAAATCAACCTGCAAAAAAATTGCAAATTGACTTTAAAACTGATACACAAGGTTAATCGTCATGCGAATTTTGTACTGAAATATGTATCACACTGAATTTTGTCAATATTCTTCGTATTTTTTTGCAGTAAAAAATATTTAAAAATAAAAAAGAATCAAATTTTTCTGGAGTTATTATTTCTTTAATAAAAATCTACTTCCAGCCATTTTTTTATGCCAGATGCATCTCTGATCTTTTTGGCCAGGTTGTTAAATCTGACTTTTTGGCCAGGTTGTTAAATTTTAACGCATAAATTATTCCACAATACTAATTTATTAACAATTTGCAAAAACAACAAGGACAAAACAGCATAACAAAATCAGTTATTCACGTATGAAAATTGACACCTGTAAAAAAGTTGCAAAGTTTCTTTAAAACTTGTATAGAAAATTAATCACTATTCGAGTTCAATAATGAAATATATAAGCAAAGCACAATGCTTTTGTACATCTTTTACGTACTTTTCCTATAAGAAATATTTGTAGAAATAAAAAGCAGCGTTAAATAATGACAAACTAGATAATTCGCAAATTTTGAAGCATTTTCTTGTTCTTCGCGAATAAAAACAAATTTCTCACATTTGTATTATGCCTATCGTACATGCCAGATCTTGACTTGCTTAATAAATCAGAGCATAAATTATAACAATTAATAATAATAATAATTTATTCGTAACATGCAAAATAACAAAGACAAATACATCAACTTACTATTACCCTAACCCGTATGAAAATTCACGAGCAAAGATTTGCAAGTTTTCATAAAAACTGATACAGAAAATTAATCACTATGCAAATTCCGGTACTTAAATATGTGTATCAAAGGATTTTAGCAATCTTTTCTTACTTTTTTCAGTGAGAAATATTTAAAAATAAAAAGTGATGTTAAATATTACAAAATAATTCGCAAATTTTTCAGGACTTACATATTGTTCTTTTCCGAACTAAAATCGACTTTCAGGAATTTTTTAGTATGCTTACGTTCCTCTCGGATCTTGACTTTTTGGGCAGGTTGGTAATTTTAAGGCATAAGTTAGTGTATAGTATTCATTCATTCGTAACGTAACATGCAAAATAACTAGGGTTGCCCCGGGTACCGGGTAGTTACCCGGTACCCGGCATACCCGGCCTGTTTTGGGGTTGAATTTTAGAGACAAAATTTCGGCAACTAATGTAAATTTACGATTTTTCCCAATCGAAAAATTTTCCATTGTAGCGTGACATTTTAATCACCCTGTACATATCTCCCAGATTAAGCATGGCAACATAACTGGCGATGGTTTGCGAAATTTGAGACATTTCTCAAAGCTTTCGCTAGAAAACCATTGGTTTTGCAAATTTGTCCAGCAATTATACACATTATAATTTAGCAAACTCATCCTCCCGATTATCAGCGAAAAATAGTTAAAAAATCCATGAAAACGAGATCAAAATAAGCGTCTTTAATCGCGATCGGCGATCTGCGAGACTTTCAAAGTGATATTTTGCGACTCCCCTCACGAAACAAATTTTTTAAGCTGCACAAGTTTGCTAAATGGGTTGCGATGATTAATAAGACATTGTCGTGAGTACGCTCAGTCCGTACTTTATGTTTATTTTTAACTTGCAACTTTTTAAACCTGGTAAAAGTGTTGCAAATTCTAGAGAAAAGTGGAATAACTCCTTATTTTTAATATATAAATATTACCCGGTACCCGGCCGGGTAGCCGGGTACCCGGCGAACATTTTAGGCCGGGTACCGGGTAGTAGCACTACCCGGGGCAACCCTAAAAATAACCCAGATAAATACTTTAACTTCCTATTATTTGTAACACCGTGTGAAAATTCACGCACAAAAAATTTGCAAATTTTCTTTAAAACTTGTAAAACCATAATTGACCAGAAAATTATTAGTCAAAGTACAGAATTGAAACAATTTGTTTTGCGAATCTTCATGTTTTTCTTGCAAATCGTGCGAATCTTCGTGTAAGAATTACTCGTAAATTAAAAAGTGGCGTAAAATAGTTACATTTAATTTCCCAAAGATTTTAATTTTTTTTTAATTTGATTAATCTAATGTCCCTACCAGTTTCATTTGTCTCAGTGGCTGACAAAAGAGCTCGCCCGAAGGGTAGAAATGGATGTATGTGTTTTCGGCCGAAGTCGTGCCATGGTGGCACAGGGGACAAAACATCCGATCCCAGTTGAATGGGATCTGACCGGCACAGGTTCAAATCTCTGCCCAGACATTATTTTTGCACTATAAATTTTTATTTACTTGCATTATTATATTACCAATTTACAATTACTATACAAATTAACCAATTTTTCTTTATAACTAGAGCATTTTAACCTTTGCTGTGCGTCCGTGCGTTCAATCAATTAACTTTTATTAATGATAACTTCGAAAAATGTTTACAAAATAACAAAAAAATTGGTATTAGCATGTGTCAGAGCTCGTTAAATTACTTGGTACGCAAATTTCAAATTATAATGTCGTTCCCAATATTGCTTAAATTACAAAATTACAATGCTGGTCACAAAGTTAGATTTAATTACAAGCTATTGAATAATTGAATTCCAACACAAATTTTAAAATAACACTAGAGATTATTAATGAACATCCAAAATTTTTGGCTTAAAAATTCATCTACAAACTTGTGCATCTGCACGGCTAGTAATTATTTTCCATTTTTGTTTCAAAATGCTACGATACGAACGTGCTAACTCGTAACGAATACACTCAACATAAAATTGTTACCGTAAAATCTAGCAAATAAATATTTATGATTTTTGTTATTGTGCATCTAAAGTGGGCACTGACGGAATCTGCCTCTTCTACCTCTTCCTCTGCCACGAGTAGCTGTTGTGTCTACCATATAATTTCCTATCTCAAGTTCCCTTTCAAATATATCGTACGCCCAGTCGCAATCCCAGAGGGACAAGTCTCCTCCATGATCAACCTGGTCGCCATTCTCCATTACAACAGTTGTAGCTCGCGCTATGCAGTCTTCTTGATCGCTATCTTCATCACCACTATCTTCATCTTCCTCTGTTATTATAATTGGAGAAGTATGTGTTTCTTCTAGTATTCCATCCTCCTCCCAATACTTATTTTCTAACCTTAAAGTGACAAAAAATACAAATTTAACACATTATAATATATAGGCGATAACTACATGTCAAAATTCAAGTCCGTTCTAAAATTATCGTGGATACGGACGGACGGACAGACAGGACATTTCCATAAAGGGATTTCGCTTCAGCCCTTAATAATGTACATCTGAAACCAACCTCTTAGTATGTTTAAAGTGATTTTTAGCTAGGGTTTTGTCATAATTCTTTAATTCTTCTTGCATTATCAACTTGATGTCATCTAAGTTTTTGTTGTGATTCCTTCGTTTGGTATTGTGTTTTCTGTCTTTCCAGCACCTCTCTGTAATACGTCACCAAATTTAAATATGGATACTAACAATGCGATGGTGTGAGGTGGTTATCGCAGATATCCACCGGACTAATTGTAAATTGTTCACGCTCAAAAATAAGTGGACCCGTATTTTTGCGTTTTCCTGAATGGGCATGTTTACACCCGTGGGGGAATTTTAAGAAAAACTTAGGCGAAAATTCGGATTTTTGAAAACGCTGTAACTTTCGAATTTTAACCCGATTTAAAAAAATAAACCCAATTTTTGTTAAGAATTACATCCCTTAAAATATAAAATTCATTTTTAAAAGTTTAAAAAAATTGATATTTTCATGCTATTTCTGAATTTCTAGACACCAAAAAACCGATTTTTTGAAAATTAAAAGTTTTTTAAAAATGATTTTTATTGGCTGATTTTTTTTTTTGAAAATTCCGCCACGGGCGTGGACATGCCCATAAACGCAAAAATACGGGTCCACTTATTTTTGAGCGTGAACAATTTAAAATTAGTCCGGTGGATATCGGCGATAACCACCTCACACCTCCTCATTGTAAGATATGTCAAATTATATATATTACAGGTCATTCAAAAGATATCTTACCGATTGGATTAAGATCACAGTTGTAAGGTGGCAACCTTAAAACCCTGTGACCCCGCTGTTTCGTCAATTTGTCGATTGTATATAATTCATCCCGCATTTCCGGCAACCGAGCTACTTTTTCCAGCATATCTTCCAGCTCAAATTTTCTTATTGCTTTCATATCAGAGGGCAATTTAATATTTAGACCAGGCATTGTTGTATATTTCTGCAAGAAATTGTAAAGAACTTCTTTCCTTTCTGATTTCCTTGGTAAAATTTTGGTGGAATGATATGAAGCATTGTCCATTATTATGATCCATTTTTCATTTGTCCTGTCGAGATAATCCAACAACTTTATATACCACGATTGAAACGTTTGGGCATTTACATTGTCATGATAATCGATTGCAGTCTGGGATTTTGACACTTTGTATACGAGAACAAGTTCGGGGATTATACCATCTTCGGTGAGGGCTGACAGAACAATCAGACGAGGACCTATAGATAGTAATTTTGTATTTAAATTATTGGTTTATGGTAAGGTGACGGCTGCCAGCACCATGTTCAAAACATTGTTATGAATACTCCTAATATTACCAGTTGCCATCGATGTTGTTCCATATGTAAATGGAGCCATTTCTTTGATGGATTTACACGTCTTTGGAAACCAACCTCGCGCCACATGCATATTCCCATCAACCCACCTGTAACAACCATTAGGTTTAGATGTGTTCACAAATTACGGAACCTAAACATTCCGAAAAGGTAGACTTACGTCTCATCAATATAAACTATTTTGAATGGCTTCTCGGCAGCTTCGTTTCGGCGAAGTTCTCTAAGGTATTTTCCTCTCCATATTACAATGTCTTCTCTTTGACTTATTCCTGCTCTTTTATCTATAACCCCGTTAGTAAATCCCATTAAATGAAGTACTCTATGGAAAGTATTTTTTGAGCAATGATATATGTCAGGTCTTGAGTGGTTATCTGGATTGGATCGATGACGAAGCATCTCATCGTCGTAATATTCCTTTTTGTAATGCATAAACTTTTTGTACAAGTCGGCAGCAGTTATGGCGGCACCGTTTTTATATGATTTAACAATCTCACTTCTAATCCAATTACGATCAAATTCATCAATATTTGTTTGTACTGGACAGGGCCTCTTTCCATTGCGCTGTGGTGTCGAAATTGTGTTTCCCCTCCATCTTTTGTTTGCTCGGGTTAGTTGGGCTTCTGTTACTCCTGCAAGTCGAGCCGGTCAAGGCCGGCCCTGCAAGTCGGTTCCAATAACTATATACCACTCGAGTGCTTCATCGGGTAAAACTCGACGAGTTGGTACAACCTTGCTTAAATCGCTGGAAAAAACTAAGGCTGGTTGTATTATGAAATCCGTTTTATAAGTTCCTATGTCAACAATCAAAGTCATGTAACCATCCATCTTGTCCAAGTTGCTTTTTTTTGCTTTTTTACCGCATCGGTGTACTATTTCTATAAACTGTTTTTTTGAAAGGGTGTTCAACCATCGCTTCGTTGGAAGGATTTCGTTAATTATGGTGTAGCATTTACGTTGGTCTTGACTAGTTGGAACTTTACGAGCATCATCCTCCACTTGCATACTAGTATTATCATCAACAGCATCGTCCGGTGATGTATCCATGGCGGTACCTGACTCCTCCTCCTCTTCTGCATTTTGAGAAGTTGATGGGATTATTTGTGGCGTTGTGTTTATATCTTTGGGGAGGAGAATCGGAGGTAGTTGAATTGATGTTGAAGAACTTGTAAAGGAGTCAAATGGTTTCATGTGAAAAAGTTTATTTAAGCAAGGGGAGAAAGTCACAGATAAATTTGTGAAAATATTTATCTCCAAATTTTCAAAGTCTTGAGAAATAGTTAAAGCAATTTTGTGCGAGCCAAAGGATTGTAGAGCGTTGTTTATGGTCTTCACTGTTGAGGGATACGACATGTATTGAGGTGGTGGGATATGGATACGCTGTATAGCTTTCTGAGTAAGCGTAATAATAAATTCCTGATCCGGATCAAGCCCATTGAATATTTCGTCGTCAGCTGAAGTACTCCCAGTATATTCTCCACTTGCATGAAACTGGGTTTGGTTAATACCCAAAACTTGACTTAATTCTTCCGAGAAAGTTATTATATATTTATCGAATTGATCCAAAAACGTTATTATTGAAGTTGGTTGATTTTTGGAACTTGAGATTGTAATATTCATAAAAAATGGCGATTTAATAAAACGGCGGTTTATACTTTGAATTAAACCGAGGAGAGAAATTGCGTCTCCTTTCATAAATGTTTCAGATGAACTAGTCAAGGAAACAATGGTAAGATTTTTGCTGCATTTATTCCATTCGTCTTTGAGAGTAAAGGGGTGTGCCGATGTGGAATTTTTGTCAAGAATTGTCAATGTGGAGCCAATTAATACCGGATCCAAACCAAATTGGAGATTGAAGTCTTCGGTGAATTGTAAATACAAACTTGAGTTGGACTTATGGATTGCAAATTTAGTTCCGTCACATGACAGAAGCACTTTTACTGCACCATCAGTCTGATTTGAGAGACATTCAATTGACTTCTCCAGAGTTGAATTTACTGTAGTGACAATTTTCTTTGTAGTCCATTTATGAAAAAATAACGTCCATAATTCATTATGTGGTGGTCGACCTACATCAATTTGGGACATTTCTGACGGGTAATTCCCACTACCAGGGAAGATACAACGTGTGTACCCTAAAGTTTTGCACAAGTTCTGCGATAAAGAGAAAGTATATTCCTTGGTAGGGTCAATAAATGAAATCCAAGTTCTGTTGTTCTCCCATGAATGGATGGAGAACTTTATGCCACCGAAGTTTTTTTCGTTCACGGCAGAAATAAAAGATGCAATGTTGTATTCCCCCGAAGTGAATGAAGTCGTTTTCCGATAAAGTAGGTTTGCAATGCTATTGAGAACATCAACATGATTATTGGTGGTCTTAACTTTGTTAAATAAAATTGTGCCATCAGTAGGACATCCTTCTTCACCATGATGATGAAAAGAGGCCGACATTATGCGGGATTGGATGAGTATGATCAATACGAGTTTATCTGTACACACAACAATGTTTTAAAATAATTTTTATGACAATTTTTTTATTTAAAACACGAGCAACTTACGTAGCATTATTTCCATCCTGGTAGTGGGTAAAATCAGTTATGCCTTATTAAGAGCGTAGCTTAACTCTCTGACGTTGGAAATATTAATCAACAAAACTTGAAACACAATTAAATAAGTTCTTGTTCTAAGTTCTAGCCAAATTTACGGACAGAAGTTAAAAGTGCAGCAATGAGCAAAAAAATAATTAAAGGCTTGCAAAACTGAGGATGAGTTGCAATTGCAGATCACATCGCTTACTACGCAGTAGAAATGAAACGAGTGCGATGCAAAACTTTCCATTCGCAGTTTTTGTGTCAAGGGGAGGTGCATAAAGTACATCACCGATTTTACGCCAACGCTTTGCTTCAAATGTGAAAATGTACATATTCAATATCCAGATATGTATGGCCCCACCCGACCCTAATGCCACATATTTACGAGGTTGTTGTGTCTGAATTTTAGTGTTGCAAGTATTAGCGAAACTGGGGATGAGGGCATGACTGCAAGGGCAGGTTAGTACGCAGTACAAATAAAACCAGACGATGCGCGATGCAAACATGTCATGTTCAGTTTGTATGTCAACGGGAGGTGCATAAAGCACATGCTAGATTTTGTGGTAATTTTTTTTGTTGAATGTGACAATATTTATGCATAACCTTATTCCACACTACAAACGCGGTTTATATGTGTGAATTTTAATATTTTAATATTTGTCACTATTATCACGAAACAACCCACTAAATAGTGGCAGTGGAAGCTATTGGGATATTAACAATGTAAGATAGGAGAGCGAGGGGTTTATATCCTGGACATATGAAATGGACAATAATTAACTGAAATGGACAACAATTGAGTGGCACATTTTCCCTCTCTTCCACGATTCTGCGGCCGATGCCACCCACACCAAAAATAACTAATCCGAATATATATACATCTAAACAGCATACCAGAATACACATTTGTACCAATTTTTTGTAATTTTGTAAACATTTTTCGAAGTTATCATTAATAAAAGTTAATTGATTGGACGCACGGACGCACAGCAAAGGTTAAAATGCTCTAGTTATAAAGAAAAATTGGTTAATTTGTATAGTAATTGTAAATTGGTAATATAATAATGCAAGTAAATAAAAATTTATAGTGCAAAAATAATGTCTGGGCAGAGATTTGAACCTGTGCCGGTCAGATCCCATTCAACTGGGATCGGATGTTTTGTCCCCTGTGCCACCATGGCACGACTTCGGCCGAAAACACATACATCCATTTCTACCCTTCGGGCGAGCTCTTTTGTCAGCCACTGAGACAAATGAAACTGGTAGGGACATTACAGAAAGTAAAAACGGAAAAATTCTGCATTGTAATTAGAAATTAACTGTACATAAAATAATTAAAACTTGCATTTATGTGAAAAGTCATGGAATTGATGCCATTTCAGAAATTGGCATTTAAAGACTTACGGGTAAAGTGAGATTTAAAATCTATGCCACATTAAAAGCGTCATTCATTGACACCTTAAGATAATCGAACACGCAATAACCAAAAATGTTTCAGCACTCCGCACTTTTACTTGGAAAGCAATGAATTAATTGAAATGAGTGTCCAATTATTATTTTTTAATTAAGCACCTTATCTGATGTATTACTCTCAAGTTTTTGCACCCTACTGGTGTCTCGCCTAGGTCACGGCCTAGGTTTTAGTCAAATTCTGGTAACAAATTTTAGTACATACTTGATAAGATACTAATAATACAAATAATAAAATTATTACGAACAGCTAAACGCGTATCGGATCCATTCCTCTGATAAACCAGGTTATCTTCTAGAGAGCCAACTTCATGCACGCTTTTCACAGTAGCGTTACCGGCAGGTAGGGAATCTGTCATTTATTATAAAAACACATTTTCAGCCTTCATAAAAAATACTTAAAAACGTGCACATTAAAAAAAATCTAGTAGAGGCAGATATCTACTCGGTACTGGTATTGATTTGGTAACAACTTCCTACCCGATTTGTAATAGTTTGTTTCTCGGTGGTAAATTGTTCATTCCTAAACGAAATAAACATTGAGAAATGGAAGTGAAAAACGTTTATAAATTTTGGAAAAAGTTGAAAACCCAAAACTTAATAATTGTGTCTTTAGAGTGTTTTTAGTATAATGAAAATTCGCAAATATTAAAAACGACGTTGGATATACTTATTTACGTCAGGTTAACAAATCCCTCGTGGTTTAGAGCCAACCTTTTTTCGTTTTTTTTAAATCGTCGAATATTGATAAAATTTACGTATTTTAACTATATAGCATAAATATTTACATATTTAGATAGTTTAAAAATAATTAATTGCTAAAAAATTGAAAAACATTTAAATTTTACTAATCTATCTATATGAAAACTTCGAAATCATCCAATTCTAATTTGAATTATGAAATATTCATAAAATTCAAAAGTGGCGTTAAATTATTACATTTCACTTCCTTGATGTTTCAAGAATTTTAATGTTTTGAAATTTTACTAGTTTACAAAAACAATATAATAAAAACTTACTGATTTAAGGCTCTAGTTCATTTTCATCGAGTGCTTAGTCTCATTCAACCCGTGCCCAATGTCTTTAAATGTAATTTCTAAAATGGCATCAACTTCATGAGTGTTGAGATAAATGGGACTTTTGATATTTTAATGTAAAGCTAATTTTTGGTACTACAAAACCTTGGTGTTTTGAAAAATTAGAGAATTCATTTACTATATTGGCACACTAAATTTCTTCAAAAATGAATTTTCTAATTTTTCAAAACACCGAGGTTTTGTAGTACCAAAAATTAGCTTTACATTAAGCTATCAAAAGTTGCATTTATCTCAACACTCATGAAGTTGATGCCATTTTAGAAATTACATTTAAAGACATTAAAACGAGTCGAGTGAGATTGCATCATCCACAACAGTCTTAATCAAATTTTCTCAGGTTCAGAAATCTATCGTGGTTTAGCGAAAACTATTTTCAAAGCGTCACGATATTGAATCACGCATTTAAAAATTTACACATTTTAATTACTTAAATAGCGCAAATAAATATTTACATATACATACTTTAAAAACAATACACTGTAAAAAAATCTGCTAGAGTCTAATACATACTCCGAAGTACTGTTCATCCAATATTAATATTTGTAGTCGCAATTTCTTGGAAAATTTTCTGAGAGGTTATTTGGTTGCTAATTGAAAAATAAATAATCTGCCAGGTAACCTTTCAGAATTTTTTGCGACTAATAATACTGGAGTGTAATTTGTTGATAACTTTATACCTGATTTTGGTAATGGTTTTTTTTCTCAGTGGTAAAGTTTTCGTTACCACCAGATTACTAAATGGTACTCCATGTTATTACCAGTGCCGGTAAAGTCACACGTATGTACTTTCGTCAGTGATTTAATACCAGTTTCCTAAGAGTGCATACACTTAAAAATCTGGTAGAGTCAGCTACATACTCCTTACTACCGTATTGATATTGATTTGGTAATAAATTCCTACCCGATGGCTAGTAGTTTCATTCCCCGTAGTAAATCTTTCATTACCACAATAATACTAAACGAAATAAACATGGAGAAATGGGAATAAAAAATTTCAGAAATTTTTGAAAATATTAGAAAACCCAAATTGGATAAGAACGGTATCTTTAATCAGTTTTTTGTATAATAAATATTCCTAATCATTAAAAACGACTTTGAATAATTACATTTAGCTTTCTCGGCTTAAGAAATCTCTCGCGGTTTACAGAGCCAACTTTGTTTTCTTTTCATAAAGCATCAAAATATTGATAAAATATACGTATTTTAATTAAATAGCATAAATATTTCGATATTTATATAGTTTCAAAATAATTATTTGCTTAAAAATTGAAAACATTTAAATAGTAATCTAGACAAAAAATATTATTCATCTCTGACTACTTTTTGCATTAAGAAATACTCCGGGTTAAAATTAAAAAGTGGCCTTAAATAATTGCATTTCAGTCTTCAAGGATTTCAAGAATTTTTGTATTTTGAAATTTTACTGGTTAAATACAATAACCAGACGATAAAGACTTGTCAAAATACCGTGTACTTAAATTTTCTCAGAAATTTGATCTCTCGTCCTTTTGAGCCATCTTTTTCTCGTTTTTTTAAATCGTCAAAATATTAATTTTTTTCTGAAACGTACATAATTACTTGGGCCCTCCAGGGAATATAAAGCATTTTTGGTTAAACTAGTGAAATTTAGTCGCAATAATCGACGTGAAAATCTCTCGAATCGAGATTGCCCAAAAAAATTCCAAAATGTATCGATATTTCGCCGATTTTTAAAATTATAATAACTTTTTATAAAAAATTGGACTAAACACTGTTTAGTCCAACCTGTTTAAAACAGGTATCTACTTTTGAAAATATGTTAAAAAATACCAGAAAATTATATTTTGCAAGTATGATTTTCTTAACACTACTATTTCAAAAATAGAATCACTTAAAACATTTCCACCATTATTTCAAAAGTACGAAAATATATCGCTAACTCGTCGATTTCACAATTCTTTAAACCTTTTATCCAAAACTGAACAGATTGGAAAACAGATCGACATTTTTTTTTACAAATTTTGCAAATATTTTAAGACAATTCTGCCTCTAAAATTTTGAAATTTTTACCGAAGTTTGTGAATTACCGCAGTCTTCAAAGAAAAAGAGAGAATCTAAAATATTTCAGAAATAAAATCAAAATATTCTGAAAATTTCCCTATCGAAATTTCTCCTATTTTACAAGTCTTCAAAATTATTATCCATGATTTACTAATAATTCCTAAAAAGTTACATTTTTTTAAATATTTAACAATTTTTCCTCCCAGGTTTTCAAATCTTTTACTTTTAGTTTGTCTCCAAAAAAAACGTAAATGCAAATACTTCAGAAATATTTAGGACCAACTTATTCTTTAAACAAATCCGATATAAATTATTTTACAAATGTTTAAAACTTTTTATCAAAAAATTCGACTAAACAGATTATAAAATAATTTCACCAAATAATTCCAGAAAATTCACATTCTTTCATACAAATATTTTGCAAACATTTTGAAGATATTGCAATACCAATTTAGCGAATCTTTTACCTAATTGTGTAAACTGTGCAATTTTCAAGGAAAACGTGTTGGCGTCAAAGTCATACTTTTCCATTTCCTTGTACCACCGCTGGATCGCTGCTTTCCCGTCAATTCCCCCCGACTCCACGCCTCCTCCCCCCGAGGAAACGAAGACGTTTTCCCCCTCGATGTGGGGGTGGCTGTAAAGGGCCACCACGCGTCCCAACAGGATCACCTTGTCGTGCACACGCTTCGCCCATTTCGCGGCGTTCTGACCTAACTAACAAT